TGTTAAAAATATTTTGAGTGTAATCTGGACAAAGTGGAAAAAGAATAAAAAATAGTGAAAAAAGGTAAAAGGACTAAAAACTAAAAGAACAAAACCACCAAGATGCTGAGGGTGGGGAGAGGTGCATTTGGTAACTGATTTTGATAAAGACCCAAATAGAACTTCAGGAAATGAAAAAAAACGTAAATGAGAAGTGTTACCTTCTTCAGTCATTTGGCCCCAGGTATTCTTGACTTGTCTGTTGGCTATCTGTTCTCTGGGAGAGACACATTTTAGGAAGGTAAACCCGGATGAAGTAGTTCTGCTGCCATAAATCTGAGTCTGAGTGGACAGGGTATGGGATTTTGTGGGCAGGGGCTGCAGCATCTGGTTGAAGGGTTAGAATAAAAGTGATAAAGTGGCGCGAAAGGGGACATTTGCTGTATTTTGAGAGAGGCCTATCTTGCAGTGATAATTTTGAGATGGAGCAAGACCCTAAGAGGGAGGCAATTCCAAGGAGGATGCTGGGAAAACTTGTTTGTTCATGAACCTGGAATTGGGTGAATGTTGGAGGGTATTGTTGCAAATTGAGCTGTTGATTAAAATGCAGAATCTCAAGTGTAGGGTTACTGCTGAGTGGAGAGGGACAAATGCATTCCCCAGGCTTTGGGCCTGGTGACATGGTGACATGTATGAAGCATTCCTCCCCCACTAAAGCCTTTAGTATGTGGGTAGCCTCTTCCCTCCCCTCCCCACTTCCTGGCTTTGTGTTTGATGCTAGTAGGGAGAGTAAGGACAGGAATGGTTAGTTAAGTTCCCTTTAATCAAACTCCTCATTGGGTACTTTTTGTGATGGACTGAGACTGACTGCTTGACTCCGTATTTTTGTTTTTTTATGGATGTCCAAATATTACTATGTGCCCCGTCTCACCTAACCCCATACCCCTAGACTTGTGTAATCAATCAGTTGGAAGTGTGTGTTGTGTGGTTTGTGTTCATCTCGCCCTTACCTGGAGCAGGAGCTAAGACCTTACCATATGTCCTTTGCATCCTTTAAACCTTAAAGTTCAATTAATAATTAGAAGAAGAAGAAGAGGAAATAAGCAGGTTAGATATAATAACTGCAGAGAGAATTAGTGAACAAAAAGGTAAATCTGAGAACATTCCCCAGAAAGCAGAGAGAAAGAAATGGAAAAGAAAATTTAAAACCTAAAAAACAAAAACAGTGGAAGATGGGGGGCAGGAGTATTCAGAGAGACAACATTTGAGAATTTTCCTGATTTGAGGATGAATACTTGAAGCTTATGGCTAAAAAGAACAATTAGTTCCATTATATATAAGTGAAACTAAATGCATAGTAGTGAAGTTGCAGAGCACAATAGAAACAAGGAGTCTTCAGAGCAACCAAAGAGAAAACACATAGCCTACAGAGGAAGGGCATTTATACTGACAGCTACAATAGAAGCCAGAACAGCATAAAACAATAATATCTTGACAGTGCTGAAAGAAAAACAAACCAACCTAGAATTCTACATCCATGTAAACTATCACTTAAGAGTTAGGATGAAATAAACATTTCAGAAAACCTAGGATTCTGCCAATAAAATGGAAGTTCACTGGTAGACTTTTGAAATATATATTTCAAAAAAGAAAGTTAAATCCAGAGAAGGGAGTAAGGAGCAAAATGGGATGGTGAACAAAGATACAGTTATGCACCCCCATGTTTTGTTCAAAGCTGAACCACATGTGTGACAGTGATCCCATAAGATTGTAATACCATATTTGTACTGTACCTTTTCTGTGTTTAGATACATTTAGGTACACAAATAATTACCATTGTGTTACTATTTATTTACACTATTCAGTATAATAACATGCTAAGATTATAACTTAGAAGCAGTAGGCTATACCATCTAGGTTTGTTGTAAGTACACTCAGTGATGTTCACACAATGATAAAATGGCCTAAGAATTCATTTTTCAGACTGTGTCCCTGTCATCAGGAGACATATGACTATATAAGTCAGCATATACTATTTAAGTGATAATCATAAAAGTGACTACCTAAGGGAGTATTAAGATGAAACTACTAAAATAGTAGAAGAAAGCAAGCATAAAATGGGAGGGGTGATTGGAGTAGTGATTTTTCTGTTATGCAAATTATACCTCAGTAAAGTTGTTTAACATTATTATATGCTATGCAGGGAAAAAAGGTGGTTTGAGAACAGAGTGTACTGTCTCAATATTATTCCAAGTAATATGCCATTAATTAAAACCCTTGATAATATTCTGACAGTGTTAATTGTTTTATGCTGTAATTTCTTCATTATAAAAATAAACTCTTCTCATTGGAAAAAACATAGCCAAGGTGATTTCAAAGATTAAATTGGAGAGGATGTTGCAGGAAGTTACTCCACCAGGGATGAATTATTTTAAAGCTATAGTAATGAAGAAAGTGTGGTGTTAGTGCAGGAATAGCGGGAATAGACAGACCATTTAAATAGAATGTAGAATCCAGAAGTAGTATTACACTTACATGGAAAATTGATATATGACGGAGTTGAGGAAAGCATAGATTGTTCATGATATGGTATTGGGAATATCAGTTGGGAACATCGGAATACGGAAAAAAACATAGCAGCCAATCCCCTCTCTTACTTAACCAAACAAATTCTTCACCAAATGAATTACCCAAATGTGGCAAACAAAACAAATTTATATTTTAAAAAGGAAAAGAAGAAAGAAAAAGTATGGCCTCTGTGTTTAGAAGGGTTACTGAAGACACAAAACCCACCTACCACAGAATAAAAGATAGATAGATTGAACTATAGTGAAATCTGTAAATCAAAAGACATCATAAGTCAGACAAAAATACAAATCACAAATTGAGAAAAGATATCTGTAACTCAGAAAACCAAATAAGGTTTAGTATCCAGAATAAATGACAAACTCCTACAAATCAGCTAAAGAAAGAAATGATTGGGCAGCTCACAGAAGGGGAATGTCAAGTAGTCTGCAAGGAAAACAGGAAAGGTTGCCCAAACTTACTGTTGACTCTAAAAAGTAAATTAAGCATCAGGATATGATTTTATGGCCATGAAATTGGCAAAAAAAATTATTGTTTGATACTGCCAAGTGCTGCTAAGCATGTGGAACAATGGTAAGTTTCATATAATGTTAGTAGGAGGATGTCTCAATCTGTTAGGGCTACTGTAACAAAATACCATCAACCAAGTAGTTCATAAATGACAAAAATTTATTTCTCACAGTTCTGGAAGCTGGGAAGTGCAAGTTCAAGGTACCAACAAATGCAGTGTCTAGTGAAGGCTCCCACTGTGGGATTACTCTAGCTTTGTCTGCATGTATGGGGAGGGGCTGGCAAACAAATTCCCTCAGGTCTCTTATAATCTAATCTCATGCATGAAGACTGCTGCTTTCATGCCCCTCATCACTTCCCCAAAGACCTCACCTCCTAATACCATCATTTTGGGGATTAGGATTGGAGGACTCAAACATTCAGACCATGGCAAAAACATAGTTACAGTGGAAACTAATTATATTGAAATAGTTATGAAATTTGTGATATAGGATGCATTACTTGTGTATATTAACTAATAAGATCTAGTAGAAGGTTTAATAGCTACCATAGTTTCAAAGAAATGATTAGTATAAATGATACTCTGATGTACTGCAACCACTTGTTATGTGATATGAAAAATAAAAATCACAGATACTGCTGAATGCTATTAGATGTGTACAGTCATAATTGAAGTGAATGTTACATTTAAATTTGAAGTTAATGAAAAATAAAGATTCGTTTTCACACAAGTTCATAAACCTGTCTTAAAGGAGTTTAAGGACCCCAAGTTGAGAACCAGTGTCTTATAGACACTCTTACACATATGCCCAAGGAGATTAATATCACAACACTATTGTAGTATTGTAGTGGCAAAAATGGAAAGCAGCTTAAAGATTCCTCAGTAATAGATTATATGTATTATGATATATTCAAACAATGGAAACCACATAGCAGTGAAAACAAGCCAGTTTACAAAAATGCGATGGATATTTTATTGTAGGTAAGATATCTTACTGTCTCTTTGTATACTCTCCTGAGTGATCTCAAACCATGTTTAGTTTAAAAAGCAAGCTTCTAAAGAATACTCTTTAACATCATTTTATGAAACATTTCATACAAAGAGTAAAGGCTCATATAGGAATGATACGTCCAAATTTAGGGTTGGTGGTTATTCAAGGGTAAGGAGTCAGAATGAGGAAGACAACACAGAGGGGTTTAAATTATATCTGTAATGTTTAATTAACAGTATGATAGATATATTACTTATTGTATACCTAGACTTTACATGCTTGGACAGAATGTTAATATAACATAGTTTCAATTGTAATTTGCATAACAATTCAGGGTTTGTATGTATGGGACATCGTAGAGGGAAGAATAACAGATTGAGTGCTTCCCCCAAATCATCTCAGATAAGAAGTAAGTTAACCTATGAAGTACCTGGCATTTTAAACATGATTAAAGGATACCCATTAGATTACTTAATTCTCACAATAATCCTTGTGAGATGATGGTAATATATTCGTAATGGAAATTTTAATCAGTGCAAAGATAGAATACAAATTGGAATTTGTATTCTGATCTTTCTGCCTCGAAAATCCATGTTCATTCCATGACATTAAATTGCATCTCTAGCAAGTAATGATTTATTTTGGAAGTGGCAAGGTAACTGCACCTTACAAATTGAGACTATGTCTGAGGTATACATTAACAATAAAGATACTAAAATAATCCAAGCATGACTTTATAATTCAAAAATTTCTTAAAAATACTTTACCCTATTCTCATTCTTAATCAAGATAGGCTGATAAACTATCACCAGTAATTTTAGTGGTCCCCCTTTATTTTAACCCCTTTGATATATTTTAGCACATGGTTAGCAAACTGCATGACTTGGTGTTTTATGATTTTAAACAACATTCTGTTTTGGTTTTTGATTTCAGGATCGAAAGTTAACAAAGTCTGAGAGGCAGAGATTTAAAGAAGAGGCTGAAATGTTAAAGGGTCTTCAGCATCCCAATATCGTTCGATTCTATGATTCCTGGGAATCCACAGTAAAAGGAAAGAAGTGCATTGTTTTGGTGACTGAACTTATGACATCTGGAACCCTTAAAACGTAAGTCCATCAGTAGTTTAAAAGCTAAGAAGTATGAGAGAATTTGATTTTTGTAATTTCAGGCCTACCAGTTCTATTACGCAGCCTACTAAGGCTGGAACAGTTCTTCCAACTATTATTAGCATATTTTCCTGCCCACAGAGTCCTCTGCTGTATAAAGTGATTTCATAATTAATTATTAGAAAGTATTGAAATGAGAAGTTATTGCAGAATATTTAGTTATTTTAAATCTTACTGATAGTTGTTTCTAAAATTCAGTGGCTCAGGGATCAGAAATCAAATGTCAAGGTAGCCCTCTAGTGGTTAAAATGAGAATAAAGTTTATTGAGAAATGTTACCCATTTATCCATTGTATTAGTTTTTGTTATCTCTGTGCAACTTTTATATCAGATAAAATTGCATTATGACAGTTATCACTAAAAAATTCATGTAGTTCTATTTCTTAAAAGATCTAAAATTGATCCCAAAACAGCTAGACCTATTATCCCTTTGAAACAAATAGGTAAAATACACAAATTCCCTGTTACCTCTTATGAAGAGCTTTTTTTTTTTTCCACTTTCACAGCTCACAGACTCTTTTGTTTTTTTTAGTGTTTAATAGATTTTATTTTACTGTATTATGGGGGCACAAGTGTTAAGGTTACGTATATTGCCCATGTCACCCCTCCCAGTGCGAATAAGAGCTTCAAGCGTGACCATCCCCCAAACATTGCACATCTAACTCATTGTATCTGTATATACCCATCCTCTCCTCCCCCCCCCACCTGCCTGAGACCCGATAAATGTTATTCCTATATGTCCACTTAGGTGTTGATCTGTTAATACCAATCTGCTGGTGAGTACATGTGGTGCTTGTTTTTCCATTCTTAGGATACTTCACTTAGTAGAATGGGTTCCAGCTCTATCCAGGAAAATACAAGAGGTGCTATATCAGCATTGTTTCTTAAAGCTGAATGGTACTCCATGGTATACATATACCTCATTTTATTAATCCACTCATGTATTGATGGGCACTTGGGTTGTTTCCATGACTTTGCAATTGTGAATTGTGCCGCTATAAACATTCGGCAGGTGTCTTTTTTGTAGAGTGTCATTTGATCTTTTGAGTAGATGCCCAGTAGTGGAATTGCTGGATCAAATGGTAGATCTACTTGTATCACATTAAGGTATCTCCATATTGCTTTCCACAGAGGTTGCACTAGTTTGCAGTCCCACCAGCAGTGTAGGAGTGTTCTTATCTCTCCACATCCACGCCAACATTTATTGTTTGGGGACTTTTGAATAAAGGCCATTCTCACTGGAGTTAAGTGATATCTCATTGTGGTTTTGATTTGCATTTCCCTGATGATTAGAGATGTTGAGCATTTTTTCATATGTTTGTTGGCCATTATTCTGTCTTCTTTTGAGAAGTTTCTGTTCATGTCCTTTGCCCACTTTTTGATAGAGTTGTTTGATTTTTCCTTGCTGATTTTCCTGAGTTCTCAGTAAATTCTAGTTACCAGCTCTTTTTCAGATGTGAAGCCTGCAAAAATTTTCTCCGATTCTGTGTGTTGTCTGCTCTCTTGAAAGTTACTTTGGCTGTGCAGAAGTTTTTTGATTTAATCAAGTCGCATTTATTTATTTTTGTTGCTGCTGTGATTGCCTTTGGGATCTTCTTCATAAATTCTTTGCCTAGGCCAATGTCTAGAAGAGTATTTCCAATGTTTTCCTCTAGAATTCTAATAGTTTCACACCTAAGGTTCAAGTCTGTTACCCAGCGTGAGTTGATTTTTGTGAGAGGTGAAAGATGTGGGTCCTGTTTCAGTCTTCTACATGTGGCTATCCAGTTTTCCCAGCACAATCTATTGAATAAGGATTCTTTTCCCCAGTGTGTGTTTTTGTCTGCTTTGTCGAAGATTAGTTGGCTATATGAGGATGGTTTTATATCTGGGTTCTCGGTTCTGTTCCACTGGTCAATGTCCCTGTTCTTGTGCCAGTCAAAAGCTGTTTTAATTACTATAGTCTGTAGTATAGTTTGAAGTCTGATAAATTGATACCTCCTATTTAGTTTTTATTGCCCAGGATTGATTTTGCTATATGGGGTCTTCTCTGGTTCCCTACGAAGTGTAAAATTATTTTTTCTGTATCTAGGAAAAATGATGATGGTATTTTGATAGGGATCGCACTGACTCTGTAGGTCACTTGGGGTAGTATAGACATTTTAACAATGTTGATTCTGCCGACCCATGAGCATGGAATATTCTTCCACCTGTTTACATCCTCTGCTATTTCCTTCTTCAGTGTTTCATAGACAAGGTTGCCCACTATCTCCACCTCTATTCAACATAGTGCTGGAAGTCCTTGCTACAGCAATCAGACAAGAGAGTGGGATTAAGGGCACCAAATGGGAGCAGAAGAGATCAAATTCTCACTCTTTGCTGATGACATGATATTATACCTAAAAAACCCCAAGGATTCAACCAAGAGACTCCCTGAATTGATAAATGAATTTGGTAAAGTCTCAGGATACAAAATCAATACACAGAAATCAGAGGCATTCATATATGCCAACAACAGTAAAAGTGAGGACCAAATCAAAGACTCAATTCCCTTCAGAATAGCAACAAAGAATATAAAGTACCTAGGAATATATTTAACTAAGGAGGTAAAAGACCTCTACAGGGAGAACTATGAAACACTGAAGAAAGAAATAGCAGAGGATGTAAACAGGTGGAAGAATATTCCATGCTCATGGGTCGGCAGAATCAACATTGTTAAAATGTCTATACTACCCAAAGTGACCTACAGAGTCAGTGCGATCCCTATCAAAATGCTATCATCATTTTTCCTAGATACAGAAAAAATAATTTTACACTTCGTAGGGAACCAGAGAAGACCCCATATAGCAAAATCAATCCTGGGCAATAAAAACTAAATAGGAGGTATCAATTTATCAGACTTCAAACTATACTACAGACTATAGTAATTAAAACAGCTTTTGACTGGCACAAGAACAGGGACATTGACCAGTGGAACAGAACCGAGAACCCAGATATAAAACCATCCTCATATAGCCAACTAATCTTCGACAAAGCAGACGAAAACACACACTGGGGAAAAGAATCCTTATTCAATAGATTGTGCTGGGAAAACTGGATAGCCACATGTAGAAGACTGAAACAGGACCCACACCTCTCACAAAAATCAACTCACGCTGGGTAACAGACTTGAACCTTAGGTGTGAAACTATTAGAATTCTAGAGGAAAACATTGGAAATACTCTTCTAAACATTGGCCTAGGCAAAGAATTTATGAAGAAGACCCCAAAACTCTAAAACTGTGTAGAAAAAACATACCACAACACAGTAAAAGCCATATATGACAGGCCCACAGCTAGTATCATATTGAACGGGGAAAAACTGAAAGCCTTCTCTCTCTGGTCTGGAACAAGACAGGGATGCGCACTTTAACCACTGTTATTCAACATAGTACTAGATGTTGTAGCTAGAGCAATCAGATAAGAGAAGGATATAAAGGACATCCAAATTGAAAAGGAAGAAGTCAAATTATGCTTGTTTACAAATGATACAATCTAGAGAACCCTAAAGACTCCACAAAAACAAGCGATTAGAACTCATAAGAAAATTCAGTAAAGTTGCAGGATACAAAAATCAGTAGCATTTCTATATGCCATTGGCAAATAATCTGAAAAGCAAACTAAGAAAGTAATCCCATTTATAATACCTACAAATAAAATACCCAGGAATAAACTTAACCAAAGAAGTGAAATAATTCTACAATGAAAACTGTAAAATATTGGTGAAAGAAATTGAAGAGGACACCAAGAAAATGGAAAGATAGTCCATGCTCATGGATTGGAAAAATCTAATTGCTAAAATGTCTATATTACCCACAGCAATCTACAGATTCAGTGCAATCCCCATCAAAATCCCAATGACTTTCTTCACGGAAATAAAAAAAAAAAATAATCCTGAAATATATACAGAACCCAGAATAGCCAAAGCCATCCTGAGCAAAAAGAGCAAAAAGAGGAGTCACCACATCTGACTTCCAATTATACTACAGAGCTGTAACAACCAAAACAGCATAATAACTGGTATAAAAACAGAAACAAAGACAGAACAGAATAGAGCACCCAGAAATAAAGCCACATATCTATATCAAACTTATCTTCAACAAAAGTGTTAAGAACATACATTGGAGAAATGACAGTCTCTTCAGTAATGGTGCTGGGGAAACTGCATATCCATATGCAGAAGAATAAAACTAGACTTAACCTCTCACCATATACGAAAATCAAATCAAAATGGATTAAAGACTTAAATCTAAGACTATCAAACTACTGAAAGAAAACATTTGAGAAACAATCCAGGACATTTATCTGGGAATGATTTCTTAAGTAATACCCCCAAAGCACAGGTAACCAACGTAAAATTGGATAAATGGGATCACATCAAGCTAAAAAGCTTCTGCACAGCAAAGGAAACAGTCAACAAAGTGACGAGACAACTCGCAGAATGGGAGAAAATATTTGCACATTACCCATCTGATAAGGGATTAATAATTAAAATATATAGAAAGCTCAAACAACTCAATAGGGAAAAAAAAATCAAACAATTGGATTTAAAAATGGGCAAAAGATCTGAATAGAAGACACACAAATGGCCAACAGGTTTATGAAAAAAATGCCAAACATGATTAGTCATCAGAGAAACGCAAATCAAAACTACTATGAAATATCATCTCACCCCAGTTAAAATGTCTTTTATCAAAAAGGCAATAATGAATGCTGGCAAAGATGTGAGGAAAGGAGAACCTTCATATACACTCTTGGTGGAAATGTGAATTAGTGCAACCACTATGGAGAACAAGATGAAGGTTCCTCAGAAAACTGAAAAAAGAGAACTACCATATGACCCAGCAATCCCACTGCTAGGTTTATAGCCCTTTTCACAATAGCTAACATTTGGAATGGACTTAAGTGTTCATCAATGGATGAA